CCCTCCCCACCGAGGAAAAAAAAAATGATTTTAATAATTTATCATAATGATAATAATTTGGAAAAAGGGAAACCAAAATTTTTTTTACATAGTAATTTATATACGTACGTAATAAATTACCCTAAATGATATCGATGAAATTACCCGGGGGGAGGGGATAATGTAATACAATAAACATTAAAGTTTACTTATGTATTATTATTATTATTATTAGAGAGATGAAAAAGGTTTGTCCGACGCAAATTATTACTTTTTTTTTTTTTTGTTAAATTAAGTAGATTAGTTTTAATCTGAACAGTAGACAATTGTTTACTGGAAAAAAGAAAAAAATTAAAAGAAGGAGTCAGAACTAATAAAACGTTTAAAAAAAAAACGGTTTTTATGTTGTTGCCATAATAATAATAATAATGATAATAATAATAAATATATATATATATATATATGTATGTGAAAAATTAAAATGGGGCGACAGTTTTCATTTTTTTGTTTTTTTCCCACAGGAAAAGAAAATCTATTTGACTTTCGTGTTAAATTTGTTTACAACAATTAAATATAAAAATACATAATGTACGATACATAAAATTATTTAATGACGTCATAAAAAATTAATAAATTATCGATGTAATTAGAAAAAAAAAATTTTTTGAAAAAGAAAAAAAAGTTCTCACCTTTTAATAAAATAAAATTTTTTTTTTTGTATTAAAAAAATATTAAATAAAAAATTTATTAATTTATTTATTTATTTTATCACCAATAGTAATAATAATAATAATTGTAAATTTAAATTCGATGAAGTAAAAAAAAAGGAAAAAAATTATTTTAAAAAAAAAACAGAAAAAAAGAAATATTTTTAAATTTGTTATTAATTTAAATAATAACAAATAAATAAATAAATAAGTAAATAAATTTATGTAATAATAATAATAATAATAATAATATTAATAATAAACGATAAAATATAAATACCTGAATGTATTTTTTTTTTTTTTTTAAATGATGAAGTTGAATTGTTCGCGGTGGAAAACCAACTAAATAACTTTTTTGGTATTTTCGTTTGTTATTTCATTTTTCGTTTTTTTTTTCCTCCATCTTTTTCTCTCTCTCTCTCTTTCTCTCTCACTCTCTCCCCCAACCTGATGACCAACCTTTTTACCTTCCTTTCCTTCCTTCCTTCCTTCCTTCCTTTTTCACATGTAAGGATATTTTTTTTAAAAATATTATTATTGGGATCCCTTCGTTTTTTATTTTGATCCCCTTTTTTTTTTTTTAAATTTAAAATTAAATTTCAATTTAATTTTTTTTTTTTTTTTTTTTTTAATTGTCATTTTCCCGACGAGGGGGTTTTTTTTGAAAATCAATCCGGGGAAAAAAAAAGAAAATTTTTTTTTTGTTTCCTTTGGGGTTTAAATTTTTTTTTTTTTTTAACCGTCAATATCCAGGGAGAAAAATTTAATTTGCATTAAATAATTTTAAAAAAAAAAAAAACTTTTTCGAACGGGTTCCCGCCATAACAAAAAAAAAAAATTTTTTTAAATTAATTTAATAAAAAAAAAAAAAAAAAAAAAAAAAAAGAATATTTCGCGTGTTGACCCAATCAATTAATTTTTCGCTTGGTATAATTTCATATAAAAAAAAAAAAAATTTTCCCCCTCTGACATTGATTTAATTAATACTTATTGATTTTTTTTTAAAATTAAATAAAAGTTATTAAACATCATTTTTTTTTCATAATTTTTTTGAAATAAAGTTTTATTGGTTTTTTTTTTTTTTGGGATGTATACATACTCCTCCCCGTCAATTAAT